AGACTTGTGTAGCATCTAAAGCAACTCAATATCAATGTGTAATTTTTGGAAGCTTTGACAGAAATGCCGAGGTATGCAACATTTCTAAAGGACCTCCTCACAAAAAAAGAGCAGGTGGGAAGAGGTAGCGATGGTAGATATGTTGAAAGTAGTGCTACATACGTATGTTTATGAGCAACCTCAATGTTAAGACTCGGGGTTCCATCCTAAAAGGTCAACCTGATAGGAGGAGTAACCCTAAGCCTTATATAGTGTTTAACTATTTTATAGCTTTCCGGTGTGGGACAAATGCTTCAACACGCCCCCTCAGCCCGAACCGGATTGGACAATATCGGGGTGTATAAACGGGCCAAACAAACTCTTAACAAGCTACCCTTAATCATGTGTGCTAAACAAGCCGTCAAACCACAACCGGAATTGGCTTTGATACCCATGTTGAAAGCAGTGCTACGTACGTATGTTTAGAGCCAATAATAGGGTAAAATCCCCCCTTTGTCAATTAAACAATGTTGAAGGTAATTTATACAAACCTGTACAATTAGAGCCCTTAGCCCAAAATAATATACAATTAAACTAATTACAATTGGGCTAAGCCCGAATATACTAATAACACGTTAATAAGATCTCAATGCAAAATGTTCAACAATTGTTTGTGATTACTGTGTCTTGGAAACTAAAAGACCTATGAAGTTTTATTATCCCTTGTTTTTAGGGAAAATGGAAACTAATAATCCAACCTTTTAGCGGTCTTCTTTCAATAATCCCACCTTTTGATTATTCATGAATAATCCAACCTTTGCACCTCATCTTCATTCATTGGTCCCTGGTCGGTTAATGACCTACCATTCCAAGTTATTTTCTTATCTTTGCAAAATATTATCTTTGTGAAAGATGAGATTTATGGTATAATGATTTGCAAAGATAAGAAAATAGCTTGGAATAGCAGGTCATCAACCGGTCAGGGACCAGTGAATGAAGATGAGGTGCAAAGGTTGGATTATTCATGAATAACCAAAAGGTTGGATTATTGTAAGAAGACCGCTAAAAGGTTGGATTATTAGCTTCCATTTTCCCTTGTTTTTATTGAAAGTTTAAGGGTTAATAATGCATTAGCTGATTTAGGAGCAAGCATCAACTTGATGCCTTCCACCGTTGTCATGGAACTTAACTCGGGAGAACTTAAGCCCACCTGTATGAGCCTATAGTTAGCAGACAGATCGGTAAAATACCTGGAAGGAATCCTAGAAGATGTGTTAGCACGAGTGGACAAGTTCATATTTCATGTCGACTTTTTCTTTTGAAATATCCAGAAGGAATCCTTCATCATGAGCAACCTTTCATCTTCTACTCCTTTTTTCTTTCGCAAACATATGCTCGACTGCTACTATATCTAAATTCAGGGTTAGTGGTCGACGACACAATAAAAATAGAGGAGAAGGCCTGCGACGACTCCAATTTGGGGCCGCCTGTGTCGGATCCGCCTTCCTCGATGGATGATGATTCAATTTGGGTTTCCTATTTCAGATCCACCAACCTAGGCCGACGACGACTCAGATTTGTCGTAGTGGGTGACTGGGTGCCCGATCTGCCGGATCCACAGTCCTCAAAGTCAGAGCTGGGTCTGAGGGAACAGAAGGGGGCAGTGGAAGGGAGGGTGCTGAGGATAGGAGTGGGGGGATAGGGGATGGGTGGGGGGGTCTAGTGCATAGGGCTAGGGGCGGGGAACAAGGATTGGGTAGGGATCTAGTGTACAGTTAGGGGGGGACACAGAGTAGGCGGCTAGGGACAGGGCATGGGTGGAGGTTATGGGCAGGGAAGGGGGTCGTTGAAGTGGACGGGGCAGTGGCGGCTGTTGGGGACATGCAGGGGACGACAGTGACAGCTTCAGTTAGGTGCAGGATGGGTATAGTGTTGTTGTTGTTGGCGGGGTGACAGAAAATTTTCGACGGTCGCATTGACGATGTTGCGGCGGTCGGAGTGACTTTCGGAGGGCGGCGTCACCAGAAAAATGAGTGTCAATGAGCAGTGACAACATCAACATTGCATGTCACTTTGATCGACGGTGGTGACCGACGGCGATGGCAGTTGTGACCGGCGGCGGTGATATGGGCGATGACGACAATAGTGACATGATGAGGGTGATATCCGAAGTCACATATAAATCGGGCAATGACATAAATTTTTGGGTGTCACTTTATCTTAGAAACATTTTTGTCTAAAAGTAAATGTGGTTACATTTTTAGAAATTAACTTTAATTTTTGCAATATTAAATGAACAAACCCCTTTTCTTTTTCTTCACTCAAACTGCTCCAAATTTTATCCTTCAAAGCTAATGAAAATAAGAGTCAATTCCCTAAATAGGACTAAAAATGGCAAAATTGCACAAATAGGACTACATTCTTTGAATTCCCTAAATAGGACTATTTATATGTGTTTGGACAGATATACCCTTGTAGATTTTAAAATGTTTTAATTAATAATAAGATCATAAAAAATAATAAAAAATACAAAAACAAAGTAATACAAATTAATAAAATATTTATAAAATAAAAAAATATTTAAAAAAAATTAAACATTTAAAAAAACGTGAAATAAAAAAAACATTGCCACCTCTGCCACCCCCAGCACCACCACCTCCCATCACCGGAGAAAAATTTGCAAACATTTTAATCAATGCCTTAATGATGTCATATTCAATGAAAATATTGGCATATTGAAGAGTAATTATGCCATCATTTTGACATTTTCAGGAAAATATGACACTTTTTTTATCAGAAGTGGAAGAATTTTCATCAATCGGAGGTGGTGCTGCTGGGAGGCGGCGGGGGGAAAGGTATCCGTAATTTGTTTTAAATTTTTTTTATGGGTTTTTACTATTTTTATTATTTTAAAAAAAATAAAAAAATTTAAAAACTTTTTTTTTAGTTTTTATTTAATACATGCTTTATTATTTTTTATAAATTTTTACGATTTTAATATATATTTTTACAATTTTTTATGATTTTATTATGAATAAAAGCATTTCATCATATATTAATACCCTTAGGGGTATTAGGGTAGAAAATCATTAAGGGGGGAACTCACATGTGGATGTCCTTCATTTGGAAGAATTATATCCCCCTAAATTCTCTTTCATGGTTTGGTTAGCTTTTCGCAATCGTCTTGCTACTTTGGATAATTTGCATAGATTAGATATTGTTAATGTGTACCCTCTTTGTAAGGGTGGCCCGGAAACGGTGTCACACCTATTTTTTGCTTGTTCTTTTTCAGGAAAAGTGTGGACCTGGCTGGACATTCCTAGGGAGATGGGAACCTTGCATAGCTCATTAAAGTGGATCAAGAGAAAGAAAGAAGGCTCCGGGATCAAAGCTAAGGCGGCTAGGATTGCTTTTTGCTACTCCATCTATTGGATTTGGAGGATTCGGAATGCTACTTGTTTTGATGGCCTCATTCCTAAGGAAAAAGATGTTTTTGCTATGATCTGATATATTGTTTATAAGATCCTTTATAGCATTTATCCGCATGAACTTGTAATGTTTTGAATAGTTTGTGCTTCTCCTCCTTTTTGGTTGATGTTGGCCGCAGGTTGTGGCTGCTGTTGTTGCCCAGTTTGAGCTTGACCATCACTTGGTTAGTGATGTTTGGCCATTGCCTTTGATTGTAGTTTTTGCTGGGGCTGGGTTGTCCAACACCACCTACAGTTTTGTTTCCTTTTTTCTGCTTATACATTTCAATGTTTACTTTTATTTAGGGAGTTTAAAAAGTAGTAGTCCTATTTGTGCGTTTTAGGAACTCATTAGTCATATTTAGGACAATTTTTGTGAAAATAAATAGGGGAAATTTGACTTTGCACCTCACTTTGGGGGGAATATTGGCATTTGCACCCCATTTTTTTTTTTTTGACTTTGCACCCTAACACATACCACTTTGTAAAGAAAAATTTCTAAATGGGGTGCAAAGTCAAAGGAATTGAATGTGAAATGTGGTGCAAAATCAAAGATTTTTCAAAATGGGATGCAAAGTTTAATATCACCCAAAAAGTAGAGTGCAGAGTCAAATTCTCCCAAATAAATACTACTAGTTCGGTTCTGTTTTTTAACCGAACAAAGCGGTTCGAATTTGGATAGAAGCAAAATAATCCCATCTGGTTTCCAGTTCCCATTTTTACAAATCCCTTCTTGGATTCAGGGCGTGTTTGGCAATCAATAGATAACGGTTAGCGGATAGCGGATTATGTTAGCGGGTTGTTAATAGCGTATTCAATCAGCGGATTTGACTAACGGAATAAATTGGCGGGTTATTAAAAGATGTTTGGTAATTTAGTTGTTTGGTCATAAAATTAGTAGAAAACACCTTTTTTCAAAACGTCAATCCAAAACTCTCCTATTAACAGTGTTTTCCTTTCAGCGATTTCGTCCGAAAACGTTAGTGTCGAACTGCTATTTACCAAAGAACCTTTTCACATATTGAAAACGCTGAAAGTTCTCAAACCGCCATTTTTCGGCTGAAACACCATTTACCAAACACCTCCTCAATCTGATCTACTCCATAATTGAGTCCGATTTTGAATTGGCCTAGACTAGACCCCTTAGAGCCCGTTTGGTAGCACCAAAATCGGTAGTTTGGGCTGATTCTTCTGAAATTTATGAAGTTCCGGCTGAAGTGGCTGCATCGGCTGATTATGCTGATTTAAGGAAAAAATATTTTTAAAATATATTCTATTAATAAAATAAAGAAAAAAATATATGTGAAAATAGCTAAAATGGTCATCTACAGTAACTTAAACCAATACAGTCAGAAAAGTAACTTCAACCTTACCTTTTCTGCTTATTACACAATTCAGCGCGCAAAAGCAAAAATTACGTGTTTGGTGAAAAAGTTGGCTGATAAACCTGACAAGTCGAAAATCAGTGTTGTCAAACGACCTCTTAATATATTGCCATGACATTTTTCCTTTAAAAATAGAAAAGCATCCAAAGAAATTTTAAAACCTAAAACCGGTTACATGGGCCATAAAGCCCAGATTTTTTTTTTGAAACCAGTAGCTAAATTACGTGTTGGGTTCTGCTGCTTCACTTCCGCCTCGGATCACAAGTTCTTCCACAGACAGACGAGGGACGAGGCAACTAGCTGGACGGGAGTCTTGCGAGCAACCCACCACTTCCGCCTTCAACCATTCCAGGTAATCCGCGGCAATTTAAGCTTTATCTCAATGTATTGCTTTATCTCAATGAATTTGTTTCGTGGCTAAAATCTTTCAATTTGAACGGATTTATTTTCAAAAACGAAAAGAAATTGCTAAATCAAATTCATAATTTAAGGCGGAAAAGTTAAATGACATAATGAACGAGTGACCTACGACTGTCACACTAAAACAGTCAAACTTGGTTTATTTGTTGCCAGAATTTGAAAGAAGTGACACTGTTTGCAGCAATATAAATTAGTTAGTGAATAAAAGTGTGTAGTTAATTAATTTGTTGGATTTTTCAAGGATATTAAAAAAAGTGAGGCCCTGGGAGTAGTTGAGATTTGAGATTGAAGTGGCTAAATTGACCATTAATCTGGTAATGGGAGTGATCCATGTGATTGAACTCGAATAAGGAGTGCATTCCCAAACTCTTATATCATAAAACCTAAAATAAAAACACTTATAATTTGTAAAGCTTTTACAGCTTTATTTTATGAAGTTTTATTTTGACAACTTATTCCGTTTTATTTTAAGCTCTTTAAATTTAGTGTACTCATTCCTTCAGTTACCAATACATATCTATTTTGGGACTATTTGTTTAAAGTATAGATAATAATTACCCATCCACAAAGGCACAAACCTATAGCCTAAATATTCACCGTGTATGGCGTTATATCTGCAAAATTACTCTGCATGAGTTGGGTTGAGTCGCTCTCTTTTGTCTGTCAATTATTGTTTTGGAAAGAAATTTTCTATCTACAACTTTTAAAGTCTGACAATGAACTTGTGCTTTAAATAGCACACCTTATGCATAAATGTGCTTTCACTTGATTTTATGAAATTCTATATCATAAAATGCATTTCCTTGCCAGTAAATTGCACATGCTTAGTCTCTTATATAGTTGATGTTTAGTTTAGCAATGTCATTACCAATTAAGCTTACTCAGCCGTGACTTTGCGAAACTAAAATGTGCCTGAGTCAAAGTGTTGCCCTGCTTTGTAGTAAATGGGTTATATTGTGTTGCACCGATTTACCTTTTTTCCGATGTTGCACATGAAAGCTAGCATCTCATAATTACGTTAATGTCCCAGAGTTTTTAATGAAAAAACCAATCCAATCTACACATTTTAAAGTGATGAATACCTCAATCATAATCAATTATGATCTGAATCTCAACTTCACTACACCCTTTGGACAATATGAATTGCAACACTTATGATTTATGAAGGAACCTTAAATTGCTATAGCGATTTTGACTACCATGCACAAAATGAATATAACATACTAAGTATGATAGTGGTGAGATATGATCTTAAGTCCTCTTGATTTTAACTTTTCTGTCATAGGGCAGGGCTGCATATGTTAGAGTAATATCTGGTGCAACATGTTCATTTGAATGAGTATATTTTGGCCCTTTTGGGGCATTTTGATTAATTTGTTTGCTCATATGTAAATAATATGCCTTATGTGCCTCATCCGTGTTTAACTAAATGACTCTTAATTTACAGAGTTTACCTAAAATGGCCATCATGGATGACCCCACTTCTGCTCCTCCTCAGGTTTGGGGCTATTATTTTTCTAGCTATACTCATTTTCTTCCTCAATTTAATTCTCAATTAACTTTTTGCAAACGTCCCTGAATTAATATATCACATGCAGAAAACTGACAAAAGGAAATATTAGAAAAAGAGAAATACATAAATATGATGAAATGATAAAGTAGGAAAGTGAGGAATAAAGATTTGCTCATGGTGTCTCCTTTAAAGTGGGAACTCATTTGAATAATTTATAGTTTCCATCGCAAATTCAAAGATCAATGAATAGAAGAAGAAATAATTACATATTTATGACTAAAATAAAAAGTGTTTACAAAAATGTGACCCCTTAAGTGTAGTGACTATAGTAGTAACTTTAGTCTTCAATCTTTACACTTAAGTGACCATGACACTATATAATAGTAACTATTAGTCATATTCTGTACATATGTTTTTTTTCAGTAATATTTTTGAAAAAACATCATAGAAGAAATGGCACGTGAGGATAATTAAGTAATGCATACATTGGACCTATGTTGCATGGAAACGCGAAAATCATGAGGAAACGGGAAACATCAACTTTTGCTCAAAAAACACCTGTTGGGAGAGTTCTAAAGAGTTTCCTTAGAGTTTTCCACGTTTTCATATTCCATGCTTATATTTATTAATTTACATGTGATAGCGGGGGCTCTAATGATTAGTATTCTCATTTTACTTTTTTGAGTAGGCAGACCTCAATGACCTACAACAAAATCAACATATTGCAACACAAAACTCTGAAAGCAATGGACAAGTTGGCAATGGAGGCATGCCCCGAACAAAGATATTATGGTTTCTAAAACGTTTCAAGAAGAAGAAGAAAACAGGAGGGTGGAGTTCAGCCACTTTCTTACTAGGTACACACAATCTTAATTCAGAATTAAATTTAGAAATTGTTACAAATTCATGACTAAAATTAAGTTTTTTTTTACAAAAATGTGACATATTAAGTGCAGTGACTATAGTGGTAACTTTACTCATAGTATCTAATGCTCCATTTTTACACTTAAGTGATCTTTATATTGTAATTTATACTCACAGTAAAATTTATTTATAATTTTGTAAATAAAATTTATTTTAGTAATATTTCTGAAAAAACCTCTTGAATTTTACCTCACCTTGTTTTCATTCAAACTTATTGACTTCATGTTAACAACAAACTATTGACGGAGTAGAATAATAAATGAGACAAAATAAATTTAAAGAGGGATGGTTATTAAGGTGTTCTCTAGATTATATGAAGTATTATTTAAATGAAATTGAGGCCATAGTATTTTGGGTCCCCAAACATATACTCCCTCCGTCCCTTATAACTTTGCCAACTTTCCATTTTTGGATGTCCCAATAACTTTGCCACTTTCCCATTTAAGTAAAGAATTTGTGGTTCCAGTTAATTCTCTTTCCTCTACACAAACCTCAACCACACAGTTTTTACTTTATTAATTCCCGTGCCGGTCAAACTTGGCAAAGTTATTAGGGACGGAGGGAGTAGATTATATTATTAATCTCACATAGCTGCTCAAGCTTGTTATATAGAGAATCAGAGATCAATGGCTGCCTATACCCAGAATCTATTGAACTTTTTAATTTGTTTATTTTAATGAGTTTATTTACTTAATTCTGTAATTGCATATTTAATTTTTATACGGGGCTTCAAGTTGACAATTAATTAAAAACAAACTTTTGAAGATAAGAAAAGTAATACTATCCTCCGTATTGTATTAGTTGCAACATTGGAATTTATACACTATTCATGTATTCTACTTTGACTACATTTTATTTATTAACGTATGTGATTTTTTTTGAAGAATACTGTTGAATTCGTCTCATTACAAAGTTTCATAATATGGTTTTTTATAATTTTTTACTAGTGGAGAATTAAATACAATGACGGCCAAAGTTGTGTGTTAGCAGACGTGAAAAAAGGAATGTTGCAACTAAAAAAGAATGGAGGGAGTAATTATTAGGATCAAGAAAAGAAAAAGTTTTATTAGTTTTTCACATTTCACATGAAATTGACTCTTCTCTTTTATTATTATTATTATTATACAACATATATCATATGCCTTTTGGAATCATGAAATTTTCTGGTCTATATCTAAAAATATATATGCATGCATGTAGTAAACCAAGGACTAGCAACTCTGGCATTCTTCGGGGTGGCAGTAAACTTGGTGCTGTTCTTAACGAGAGTGTTGGGACAGAGCAACGCAGTAGCGGCGAACAATGTGAGCAAATGGACGGGAACCGTTTACCTCTGCTCACTCTTGGGTGCTTTCCTCAGCGACTCTTATTGGGGCCGCTACCTTACCTGTGCCATCTTTCAGCTCATTTTCATCGCGGTACTTATATACTTGACTTATACTCTGTTAATCCGTTTATACCATCAACTCTATCATCTCTTCCAAGTTCAAGTTGCAACTTTCCAATTTTCTATTATTATTTTGGGGCTGAATTTTCAATACTTTAGAACCCAGAGAAATCACTCCAAGTAATTGTAATAATGTTTTCATTGAACTTAAATTTTCAAGTTTGTTCTGAATGTCCGAGTTGGTTTAAATCTGGTCTAATCGGATTTATCCGAAGTGGCATGAACTCGTATGTTAAGACATGTTATTGTGTGTATTCTTGTGCTATGACTGTTGTCTATATCTAGTCAAGTCTATTATGATCTTATTTGATCTCATTGGGTCCGTTTAGGTTTGTTTTGTCTGGTTTGATTTGAGACTGAAATTAGTTCAAGTGATTGCATTCAAAGACAGTGATGCACACATTAGATCATTTTTATTTTTTATTAATGTTAAAAAAGAACTTTTATTCAATCCTAAAACGTGAATAACAACAGTTAATAATAATATTCTGTCATAATATTATTGTACTAGTAAATACTAAATATGTCATACTTAAAAAATGATAGAACTCAGGTAATTACCACTAAGAATTATAGAGAATCAGGAAGAATTGATAAAGAAGATGTCAAGAAACTGTACTGAAGTGATTCGTGTATACAGAAGCAGGCACTTCGAGAGGCCTCATCTCTCCAGAACCAAATTCCCAATTCTAAAATTTGCCTACCTTTTCCCTCCCCCCTTCCTTACTCTTTATAGTACAAGCCCATTTATTATCTATAATAATAGGCCCACTTATTATTATTATCTACCATAGGCCCATTCCTATCATTACTCCCCCCCTAAATAACCACCTTGCCCTCAAGGTGGGTGATAGGAGTCAGCCTTGATCTTCCACTTGCACTTCATTCTTGCACTTCTCCCCTCCCAGTACTTGACTGATTTCTGGACTAAGATCTTCCATACTTGAGTCTTCCTCCTTACTTCTTCTAGCAAAAGCCTCCATAGATCCCCTATTTTCAGAGCATCTGTACCAGTCAGGTGGCTTTGTTCATGCTGGAATGGAATTTTATCAATCTGCCCAATCACCAACTGCTCCATCTTCCAATTTTTAACAAGTCTTACCTCTTGATATAACTCAAGCTCTTGGATTTCAGTTGCTTCAGTCCTTGAAGTTGTAGTATTTGACATGCAGTATTTCTTGGAACCGATAATAACAGCATGAGCATCGATTAACTGATCAACAACTATGGCAGATTCAACTTCAGAGTTATTAAAGGAAGCTTTCCCATACGAATCCTGTAATCCAGAATTGATAGGTGCAAACAATGACATGAATGGTGCAGAACCTGCTGCAAACTGATGTGGATTATCTGTAAGCCTCTTGCAACCAGTCATCCCTGAAGTCCAGCACTTAGTGGTCCAATCAAATTCCTTCTTCCACCATAACCTTCCCCTAGCATCCTTCTGAACTGATCCCGCTTGTACACCCTCCTTTTTCACATACATCCAATCCTTCCACGGCTTCCTAAATGCAGCAGTAGCTATTAAATTGGACTGCCAAGGAATAGCAGTTCCTGCTGAAGCTTTATGAACTGTAGTTAGCAGATCAACGGCTAACACACCCGATGTATCATATTTCTGGTTATCTGTAGCCTTCATTCCTTTGTCAGAACATACCATATGAAACTGATAGTCACAGACTACACCCTCATCTGGAACAAATATATAAACTACTGGCATTTCCTTACCATTTTTCTTATCATTCCCAGCCAATCCTATTCCCAATCTCATTCGGATATATTTCATAGAATTCACACCCTTAATTTTTAAATCCTCAATCTGCTTCATCCCTTCCAACCTTCCCTTTGATGAAGGATGATGCAGCATATCTATTTGAACACCCAAATCCAGTTCATGAACTCGTCGAGGTTCAAGGTTATTTGATGACTCAATGTTTTCTGCTCTCAGAATTTCTTCCTTCATCTTCACTTGTTGAACTGAAGGTGCAAATGGCTTTGACTCAACATTTCTTTCCAGCTTTGAGCCCTCTGAAATTCTTTTTCGGGTAACGTCTAGTGATATGGCTTCTGAAATAGGTGATACCTGTGCATGACTGAGTAGTTCAGCAATTGCGGTAGCTTCAGGTCCTCCTGCAACTGTAATTAGCTCCTCGTTTTTTTCTCCAGTAGGTTTCTTGATTACAAATTCAGCTGTCTTCAACTCTTTATTCTTCATCAACTGGGGATAAACTTTCACAGATTTAGAGATGGTTTGCGATAAAACTTGCAAACACGAATAGTCTTCTCTCGATTGAAAACTCTGATGCGAACAGAGAGTAGATGAAGACGCCTGCAGAAGAAAACCAGACCCCTGCGAACTGAAAGGAACAGTTCGCGATTGCGACTGCGAATGTGAAAACGAAGTTCGCGATGAGGAGGGTTGGGCATAAGCACTTCGCGAGGAAAATTTAGAACTTGAAACCGATCGTGAAGCTTGCGAACTGAGAGGAGCAGTTTGCGACTGAGAAACTGCTGATGACGTCGCACTGTGAGACGCGGCTAGCGACGTACTGTAAGGAACCTCTAGCTTCGACGAACGTTGAGAATCTTTTTGCGATGGCGGTCGGGAAACGCGCAAATCCTTTCGCGAGTGCGCAATAGTTCGCGACTCCTGCGAACCAGAAGATACAGTTCGAGATTGCTGCGAACTTTGCGAACCCGAAGAAACAGTTCGCGATTGGTAAAGATGATGATATCGCGACCTCCTACTCTCACGATATTGGTTCTGCATGTCCGTCATCCTTCCATTCATTGTTTCGAACTGTCTATTCATCGCTACCCTCAGATTCTCCAATCTGTCCTCCATTCTGATTAGCGCCTCATCCGTCGCTAGTTTACCGATCTCCAAGGTTTCCATTCGTTGCTCCATCTTTGCCCTTGTACGAACCATTCACCGAATGGAAAAAATTTCCGGTACTTTCAGCGACAAAACAGATCACCAGAATCGATGCTCTGATACCAATGATAGAACTCAGGTAATTACCACTAAGAATTATAGAGAATCAGGAAGAATTGATAAAGAAGATGTCAAGAAACTGTACTGAAGTGATTCGTGTATACAGAAGCAGGCACTTCGAGAGGCCTCATCTCTCCAGAACCAAATTCCCAATTCTAAAATTTGCCTACCTTTTCCCTCCCCCCTTCCTTACTCTTTATAGTACAAGCCCATTTATTATCTATAATAATAGGCCCACTTATTATTATTATCTACCATAGGCCCATTCCTATCAAAAAATAACTCATATCTGAAGAAATGTTTTACTCTATCCATTCTAATTTACTTGTTTGTGTGGGGTTTCCAAGCAATTTTACGAAGTGTTTGTAGAGATGAGAGAAAATACGTTTGCGTGATCAAATTGTGTAGGTATAGCATAAACATGTAGGTTCATTAAAAAATGTGAGACCAGTAATTAGGAATAACCGAACAACCAAAACAAAATTGAGATAGTTAAACTAGAATAGATAAAGTATATCCCACAATGATATATAGAGATTTTCTTAAAAGAAATAGTCTAATTTTGAAACAATTAGTTTAACAAATGTAAAATTCTCTAAATAAAAATAAAATTAACACATCAGTTCATTCATATAGGAGTATAATATTTTTTTACTATTGAATTTTTGACTTCTAAAAGAAAATACAGACTTTTATTTCTTTTAGCATAAAATGAGTTATATTCTAAGCACACAACATATTCTTTTTTATTTATACTTGCTATACTCTAACTTTGAGTAGTACGGATTTTTTTTTTACCAAACTGATAATAGTTAGAAGGCCTGATAAGTTTTTCCTATTGTTCTTGTTTATCTTTCTTTAATTTGTGGCTAACATGGGGTGAAATTGAAACAATTATTAGGGACTTCTTACCTTGTCCTTAGCATCATGGATTATGTTGATAAAACCAGAAGGGTGCGGGGACGGTATAGAGCCATGCACGCCACCGACCAAATATGGCACCGCCATATTCTACCTGGCCATTTACATGGTTGCACTCGGCTATGGCGGACACCAACCAACAGTGGCCACATTAGGGTCCGACCAGTTTGACGAGTCAAACCCTAAAGAGGTGGCTTCCAAGGCTGCCTTCTTTAGCTGCTTTTACTTTGCTCTCAACCTTGGATCGCTCTTCTCAAACACTATCTTGGTTTACTTTGAGGATAATGGGGGCTGGATTTTGGGGTTTTGGGCTTCTACTGACTCTGCTATCATCGCTTTGGTCCTGTTCTGGGTTGGCTCGCCAGGTTATACCTGTGTTAAGCCTTTTGGCAACCCTATTTACCGAATCGCCCAGGTTTTCACAGCTGCTTTCCACAAACTGCACGTTAAGCTCCCCGAGAGAGAGGAGGAACTGTATGAGGTTGGTTGCTCCCAGGCATCTACTATTGAAGGAAGTCGCAAGATCCTTCACACAGACAACTTGAAGTTAGTCACTTACTACTGCTTATATCATTTTTCTACTTCGAAATTTTGTTAGTTTTTTAATTGCAAAATCCTTACCATAAAAACTACACCCAGTCTTGATAAATTCTATACTATGAACTACTTGCTTTCTTTTTAAGAGATTTTTACTCATAATAAGAGCATAATGTTGACCAAATTACAAATTGGAAAGTCATATTTTATTCCTAAATGGGAATTAAATCAATTAAAATTTTCTCAATTAAGTAATTGATGTGGTTCCTTTTTGGCTTGGGAATATGATGGAATAAAGAAAAATGACTCACTAAATTTCGACCCAAGTTTTACCTTGAGTCATCCGAAACAGGTCTCTCTGTGCTTTAATGCATCCGACCCTCCTTAGCTCACCGTAGGTGGGAGCCTTTGCGGCCCTGAGGTAATGATGATCATGAAGTAATTGTTGCAAGTATGAGTAAAACATGACTGGAGTCGCATATTACTCATAGGAGTGGATAAATACTATTCTCTATTTCTATTAAAACTTTGTCATCTTTGAATTTTATGGTCAATGATGTTACCCTTTGGTGGCCAATGTGAAAACTCTATTCTCTATTTCTGTTGAAACTCTATTCTCTACTTTGGCCAATGATGATATATTTATGCAAGAAGTTAATTATAATACGTAGTATAAACATGATTTGATTTTTTTTTGTTAAAACAACTTTCAAAGTAAAACTCATTAACTTTCACAATTGGTTATATAAAGGCAGTTGTTCTCTTACAGTTATAACCTTCAATTGGTTAGGTCCACAAAAAATAAACATGTGAAATGATATATAGATAAAATGAGAATGTAAATGTTAGCCAAGTTCTATCTAGGAAATTATTCATATTTACGTTCTTCAGTTAGGATACATATATTGTGAGTGTGTGCAAGTCATGGATGTCAGAAGTCAGAACAGATTTGAATAAGCGAAGTGCACATGCATGCAGGTGTTTGGACAAGGCAGCGGTTGTGACACAAAAAGACCGATTTGGGTCGCCGAGCCCATGGAGGCTGTGTACGGTGACTCAAGTGGAAGAGGCCAAATGTGTGCTTCGGATGCTTCCCATCTGGCTCTGCACCATCATGTACTCAGTCATCTTCACCCAAATGTCTTCCCTCTTTGTTGAGCAAGGTGAAGTCATGAGTGCCCGCCTTGGCACTTTCCGCATCCCTGCTGCCAGCATGTCTGCCTTCGACATCTGCAGCGTCCTTATCTGCACCCTCCTCTATCGCTTCGTCGTCATCCCCTTCACTTCTACCCTCAGCAAAAATCCCAAGGGCATCACCGAGCTCCAGCGGATGGGTATCGGCCTAGTCATCGGAATGCTTGCCATGCTGGCTGCTGGCTTCACCGAGATTCAACGCCTCCGGCGGGTTTCCCCTGGGGAGCAAATGAGCCATCTCAGCATCTTGTGGCAAATCCCACAGTACATTCTTGTCGGAGCATCTGAGGTTTTCATGTACGTCGGGCAGCTGGAGTTTTTCAACGGCCAAGCCCCTGACGGGATCAAGAGTTTTGGAAGCTCTCTGTGCATGGCGTCCATGTCGTTGGGGAACTATTTCAGCAGCATGTTGGTGAATGTGGTCATGGCCATCACTGTCCGGGGAGAAATCCCGGGGTGGATACCGGAAGACCTGAATACTGGGCACATGGACAGGTTTTACTTCCTCATCGCCGGCCTTGCTGCTGTCGATCTTGTGATGTTTGTGATGTGTGCGAGATGGTACAAATGCATCAAAGTTGAGGACAACAGCCATAATGATGACCCCAGCTCATCGCGCTTGAAAGAAAGCCAGCAGTTAGATGATGATGAAGAATTAGATCAAGTTTAATTTGATTCAGTTAATTAATCTATTCATTATTAGTTAGACCTATCATTCTTTTTAACCAACGGTTACTATTGATTCATGATGTACATACGTAAATACGTAATAACGTTAGTTAATAAAAACCTCTTATCTTCGTCCTATTTGATTTGAATTTTTGTATTGTCATTTCACATTTTTATGTAATTTGATGCGGGTCTTTTCGACCTATTTTGCTTGTTTCTAGTTGGGGTTTTGACATAAATAAATCTAAATTGAAAGTCATAGGACAACAATAGGATTAAGGGGATGTATTGGTTTGAGACATTTTAAAATATTTTGAGATTTGTGTTCAAATGAGATTTTACTGAACTTTTCTGTACAAATCCAGACTTTCCTGGAATCGATCGGACATTGCTTAAGACATTTCAAGACATGTTAAAACCCTGAAGATGAGTTGAAGAGGACTCATCCTTGAAGATGAGTTGCTTCCAAAGTTCATTGCAGAGGACATTGCTTAAGACATTCCAAAGTTCAATGGCGTCCAAACCCTGAAGATGAGTTGCAGACCTATAGTCCCTTCCTTCAATCGCTACCAGTCAAGCTACATGCGCACCTTTCGGATCTCGAAGCCCCGCCTATAGCCAAAGGTTGCTCTGCCTAGGGGTGGATTTGGGCCGGGCCGGCGGTTTAGAATTGGTGGACCTGGGACCGGCCCGGGTAGCCACCGGGTCTGGTCCGGGCCAGGCTGGGCCTCCGTTTTTTTTCTTCTCTAACCCCCCACCCCCCAAACCCCTCCTAACCATCAAGCCCAACCCGGGTGGAACCCCAAAAAATGAAAAAAAATCAATTTGGCCCGGACCCGGGCCCGACCCGACCGGTTCGCCAAATGTAAGACCCGATCCCGGACCCGCCCCCGGGCCTAGACCCGATCCGGACCTGGACCCGAGAACCGGGCCGGTCCCGGTCCCGCACAGTAGCGGGCCGGGCCGGTCCACGGGCCGGGTGGCCCGACCCGAATCCACCCATAGCTCTGCCCCGTCCTTCCTCCCGTCAGAGATTGCTCTGCCACGACGGAGCTCTGTTTGCGCCAGATCTGTTTGTACAACAGATGACTTCCCAAATTCTTTGGTGAGGAAAAAGAAAAACAATCGAAGGTACTTGGGTTCTATTTGAAGTGCAGCTTTTCGGTTCTGGGATGTCCACAACAACTCTCCCAAATCTCACGTAAATGCATGAGATTTGATAATGGGATTTCATAGTGTATTTTTCTAGTAAAGTCTTACCAAATCCTAATCCAAAAGAGAATCCAAACTTTTGTTGATGTTTTAAATACACCATGACATTTTGAGACTCTCTGTATGTCTCTAAATGTCTCAATTGAATACTCAAGATTTAGACAATCTTAAAATGTCTTTAAAAGTCTCAAATGAATACACACACCCCTAAGTTTAAAAACTTATAAAGTTGTGATTATTATCACACTTTTACCTTTCTGCCATTTCAGCCCAATTTAGGGGTGGCCCACTTCCGGTCTGACCGGCCCGAGAATCGGACCGGCCCGAGAATCGGACCGGCCCGCCATTGTGTGGGACCGAACTGGCCCGGTTAATCGGGACCGGTTCCGGGCCTAGGACCGGCCTGGGGGATTGTTAGGGGCGGTTCCGGGCCGCACCTCCTTTGGTACCGGCCGGGGCGGGCCCAATTTTTGTTTCCAATTTTTTTTGGTGGTAGGCTGGTTGGGCTGGGTGTTTGGGGGGGGGGGGGGTGTTTGCGGGGGGGTTGGAATTAATTAGAAAAGCTAAATAAATAAATAAAAATATATAACCCGACCCGAGTCCGGTCCGGTCCCGGTGGAATCCCGAGCCGGTTCCGGGCTTTAACCCACAAACAAAAAGCCCGGTTTGGACCGGCCCGGAGCCCGGCCCAGCACAGAACCGGTCCATGCCTAGCCCAATTGTCTCATTGATTATAGACCCGACCCAGTGACCTAATGCTCGCGCCATGTGCGGATCTAGGGTGGGCCAATCTAAGTCCTGGTCCATCTCAAGTTTTTAAAAATACCTTAACTTTTAGGGTAAAATTCCGTGTAGTCCAAAATATATTCTTTGTAATGGCCTAATCCGGCCCAATGTCCTGACTACTCCCCTAGTTCGGACCAGCGATTTAATCATCAAAGACAAATTAATAGTGACAGTTAGCCACCGCTACCAAAGTAACGATGACCTGTTGCCCCAGCTAGTGACACCGCCCCCGAGTAACAATGACCCGCAGCCCCAACCAGTGACACAATCGCCATCACAAAAGAAATTGAGTAATAGGAGGGGAAAGAGAAATGATGACAAACATGGGACATATGCACGCGACGAAGATGGACGATAAAAAGAATAGTTTGCAAAAAAGAAGAAGATGAAGGTCAGAGGAGTCCCAATTACGGAGGAGGTGGGGCAGCGGGCGAGATTGTGCACGGTGGAGGTGCTTTGGCGGTTAAAGTCAGTTGCAGTTGTGGCAGATCCTGCTGCCCATGGAGAGTGTTGACGAAGTTAATAGACAACTGAGATGGGAACAATGCGAATGAGAGTAGAGGTAGGATTATTCAAGGGTGTTTCAATTTATTCCTCAATTTATTACTGTAGATGATCATTTTAGTTATTTTTACATATAATTTTTTTCTTTATTTTATTAATAAAATATATTTTTAAATAAATTTTTTTCTTAAATCAGCATAATCATGCAATGCAGCCACTTCAGCCAGAACTTTATATATTTCAACAGAATCAGCCAAATTAGCTGATTTTTGTGTTAACAAACGGGCCCCAAAGATGAAGGATATAGGATGTTTTTATTTGGACTGTAATTTTTTGGTCTGGTCTGGTCTGGTCTGGTCTGGTTTGATCTGGTCTGATCTGGTCTGAACTGGTCTAGTCTGGTCTGGTAAGGTCTGGTTTCTTTGTATTTTTATAACTATCCAAGTCTAGTCTGGTCTGGTCTGAACTGGTCTGGTCTGGTCTGGACTGGTCTGGTCTGGTCTGAGACAAATTACAGTCCAAGTAAAAACATTCATAGTTGTTGATGAGTGAATAGTACCTACGTGACTACGTCTTAGAAATGCTACAGCGTATTGGGCCACGCGTTAAGCAACTAAAGAGCATATGTCATAAACTAAAGCCCAAATATAATCCCCGGCCCATGCATGTTCCAATCGTAACTGTTGATTTTAGGTCTTCATTTCTGCCTCTACTATATAATAATTCTTCGTCGTCACCTCCATTTTGCATTGCGAATCTCCCTCGCTTACCTTATTAGCTTACCTTCAGCCCGAAAACCCAGGTTAAAGTGACGGTCACGCGCCGTCCGCCTTGGCAGGATCCTTTGATCGTCTGTCTTGGCCCTACAATAGGAGTTGAAGGTTTTAGGAGTATTTTACAGTTATATCAACTAATTTAGCTGTGCTAGCTCTGTAACTGTACCAATGGCACCAAAGGCGTCCAAGGCCGAGAAGAAGATCTCTTATGACGAGAAGCTCTGCCAATTTCTGGATGAGTACACCCAGATATTGATTGCTGTGGCTGATAACGTCGGAAGCAATCAGCTCCAGAACATTAGGAAGGGTCTTAGGGGCGATTCGGTTGTGTTGATGGGTAAGAACACTATGATCAAGCGGAGTATTCGAGTTCACGCTGAGAAAACGGGAAACACTGCAATCCTCAACCTCATCCCTTTGTTGGTTGTGAGTGCTCGTATAGTACTGTTAATTAATTTGGTTTATTTTGCATGCATTAGTTGATTGAATCTGAGAGTTGGAGTTGTTAGTAGTTTGAATGTCATACATTCTTAGATTTTAACGTTTCAATTTGTAATCTTTGAAAAAATATTAACCTTTGAAGTGTTTTCAGTTCCATTTATTTTACCACGTAATTTTTTTTCTATTTTCTTTTCTTCCATGTATTTTTAATGTAAACTAATGAGTGATACAAATATTAAAGTTACAGCAGGTCTATAAAACCATGAAGTTAAAAGGTATTTTAACAGAAAAGGGATGAAGTACATTAATGGGAAGTAAGTGTGGTTCATTGTTCATGGCTATGAACTTAAGATCAACCCATAAAATGTCTTTACTAACAGGGTTTATATTTATATTTTTTTTTACTGGAGGGGAATGTGTGACTAGTTTAAAACTCTGTCTTTTCTCTCTTTTTCAGGGAAATGTTGGACTGATCTTCACCAAGGGTGATTTGAAAGAAGTGAGTGAGGAGGTTTCCAAATACAAGGTCAGTTTATAACACCCTTCTTCTTTTTCAGCATTTGGTTGATTTGAATTTTATTGTATTAGTTAGTTTTCTGGATGTAAATACACTTTTTTGGTCGTACACAACACTTAACAAATAAGCCTTGTTCACAGGAGTGAGTTACCCGTGTTAGATACCTAGATTGACCTGTTAGTTTCGAGGTGAGCCTAGCTTTTATTATAAAAACATAGTGTTATCTGGGAAAACCTCCAAAAATTTACCATAACCTAGTTTTTGAACAACCTCTGAATGATATCTTTTTGGTTAATTTTAATATATTTTTCAACCATAAACATCATCTCAACAAACTTTTATTGAATTCACATAACACTATTATATATACCCCTAGGTTCATCTAGTTTTGCATAAGCTCACTGAGTTTATTTGACTTTGTTCTATACAAAATGAATGTAAAGAAATTGTTAGAACAAATAGCAGCTAAGCAGTCAGCTACTCAGGCACTTAGCTACCTAGTTCACTTCTCTGCACATATGATGAATTTACCATTTATATAAAATAATACAAAAACACTTCATTTAAAGTTTAAACACGTGGATCACATGCATGTTTTTGAAACCATAGATAACAGATTATCAACTTTCCCATCCCTCCTTCTTGAGTACATATACTTTGTTAGGTTATTAGGATTTCAGGTGATGTAATTGCAAGGGTGACATTTCTTTTATTAAATTATTTTACATATAAGTGGTTGTAGTTAATGTGAAGATGGAAACCTATTTAGAAATCAATGATTTAAATTAATCCATCATTTTTAGTGTTAAACTAACAAATATAGATACATTGGAGAAATTGAAAATAAGTTCAGCCCTATGCACACTTTCAAAATCCCTCAACCAGACAAGCCCATGTGTTATATATAAACAGTTTTGTTTTAATTGGTACTAGCAAGGAAGTTTAAAGCAGCCTAA